CATGGTTTGGTCCCCCTCCCTCCCCCACGACCCCCTCCACCTCCTCATCATCATCATCATCACCTCCGTTGTCTTTACCTACATCTCAGCCCTCGTTCCTCCTCCTCCTCCTCACCATCACTCTGAATCATCGCTTCCGTCTTTATCACCACCCTCACATACATTTCATCTCCTCCTCCTCCTCATCATCATCATCAACTTCGTCGCCGCCATCCTCATCCTCATCCGTCTTGTTGACGGCGGTCTACATTCCGTGTTCGTGTACTTTGTATCCGCTAAACACAACTCCACAGAAGAAGGGTAATAACTGTCCCAAACCGTTTCATTGTGTACTAAGTTGAAGCCCAACGGTCTGTCCAGGATGCGTTTGACTGATGGATAAGGACTCTCACCACCTTGCCCAAAGTTAGTGATCCCCTTGAGACACGTGGTCCACTTTACTCTCAACGATCCTACGATCCTGCAATCCAAGCAGAGGGTCTAGTTCAAACCCCTTACACTGAGGGCAGTAAGTGCGTTTGAGACTGTCAGTGAGTGTGTGTGTGTGTGAGAGAGAGAGAGAGAAAAGGACTCCCACCTCACCAACCTTAAGCCCGTTGTTGTCACCACCCTCACCAACGTCCCCATCCTCCTCCTCATCATCATCACCTTCATTGCTACAGTCATCATCATCAGCCTCATATCAATGGCCGCCTACATTCGTGTGTATGTCTGTGTGTGGCTGTGTATGCAAGAGACACAGAGAGAGAGAGAGAGAGGGACCAAGGACTCCCACGTCGCCACCCTCACTCATGCAATCGTCACCACCATCACCTACAACCCCCCCCCCTCATCATCATTATTGATGGCCTTTCCCGTTATTTCCTTCAAAACCATCGTAGTTTTTTCTCTGAATGCTACACCCGTGTAGCTGTCTTTCTTTCATTTCTTTTTTTTTTCACTTCTTTTTTTTCCATTTCTTTTTTTTTCATTCTTTCTTCTTTTGTTTTCCATGAACGTAACCGTTGAAAAACAGCGTGTTCAAAACTCAAATCCTGACGGATACACTTCTCCAACATACAACGTTAAACATGCCAAGCAACCCCCACAATAACTGTCTGCCCTCTACATGCCCCTTAACCCCCACAATAATTGTCTCCCCTCTACATGCCCCTTACCCTCTGACATATATACACAAACCTAATACCGTTGCCTATCCGAGGAGTTGGGGGGGGGGGCAGGGAGCGGGGGAGAGCAGAGGGGGGTCCCCAAAAGACCCCTCCAAACATGTGACACACTGTAAATACCACCACCAGACACCATCTCTTAGGCCACCACACTACGAAAGGCTGCCCTTCCTTCACAAACCAAATTGGAAACAAGAAAAGGAAAGGAAGGCCAACAAACAGCATGCCTCTTCAACCCTGCTTCCCGCCCTGGGGGGCGCGGTCCCCCTTGCACGCATTAAGATAGCCTGGTCGTCGATAACGAAGAAGATCAACGGCCACAATCTGGTAATTCTTGCAAGAGTGGCCTCGCCCCGGAGAAAAGAAAGAAAGAAGGGACCTCTTCGAAAAAACAACCTTCGTCAAACCATAGGCCCTGTCTCTTATACACATCTAGATGTGTATAAGAGACAGCATTAAGATAGCCTGGTCGTCGATAACGAAGAAGATCAACGGCCACAATCTGGTAATTCTTGCAAGAGTGGCCTCGCCCCGGAGAAAAGAAAGAAAGAAGGGACCTCTTCGAAAAAACAACCTTCGTCAAACCATAGGCCTTAACCCCCCCCCCCTTAGTGTTCATTTCCCAGCCCTTTTTCTCCAACACGGCCGTCAACGCGCCGCCACTTCCGCGGCCCGGCCTACTGCTGTGGCTGCGACAGCCAAAACAGAAAACACGGCGTCGCTCTTTTTTTCTGGCAGGCAGGGCAAGGCGTAGAAAACACGGCGGCGCTCTTTTTTTTTTCAGACAGGCAGGGCAAGGCGTTTATAGGCTCAGCAAGGGAACAGAGCCTGTGATATGCATAGCTTGACGAATGGGAGTCGACATGCAGTAAACATGCCCAGGCCAAAGACTCCGAACCCCACTTAAATACTATCCCACCTGCTGGCCCGCACCTCCATCCAACAACAACTGGGGTCAATGACCTTCCTCAATCAAAAGAACCCCCATCCATTTCAGCGTGACGTTCACACGCATGCGGTAGCTGCGTGAGTGATTGCCGCACAACATACCAGGAAGGAAGGAGTACACCACAGAAGAGCAACCTCGGATTTGGAGCGCACGGTACTCCAGATTTGAGGCGTGGTCCTTCGGGACATCCGTTAAAATTGGAACGATACAGAGAAGGGTAATTAGCGAATGGCCCCTGCGCTTTCAAGGATGACACGCATAAATCGAGATTTGAGGAGTGCAATCTTTTGATTTGGGATCACCAACTCTTGATTCGATTGGCACATTACCGTCTTCACCCGAATAGAACGCCCGGTAATTATCGCCGTATCTGGACAGAAATTTGTGCGAAATACAGTTATAATGCCCGGGCGTTATATTCGGGTGAAGACGGTAGCATAGAGTAGTATAGACCCAAGATTCCCACCCGCATGTCCCACACAGGAAAGAAGATCCAGATGATGCGAATATACTCCTCGCGTATGGTCAGTTGGAAAAGAAGCATGCAAAAAGGGTCCGGGACTATAATCTGGAGGCGATCGATCATACATAAGGGGATCCTACCCACAGTGGTGCAGCAGAGCATTCACCTTCGACAGGGGTGCCTCGCTTCACGTATCTGTAAATGCTCAGGCTCCCACAACCCCTCCAGAGGCCTTCTAACAGGTCATCATATCAGTGCTGACTCAAATGCTACTGAGTCCTAACAAACCACAACTTTCAAAAGAAACTTTTGTGGTTTATAATGACCCTGCCAACCCCAAGAACGGAAAGGGAGGGGAACAAAGGCCGAAGTATGCGGCAGCACGCTCGGCAGGTGGGTAGACAGGGGGAGCCAAGGCAAGGGGGAGGCAAGGGGGGGAGCCAAGGGGGAGCCACGTGGGGAGGCAGGTAGGAAGGGCAAGGGGGAGCCAGGTGGGGAGGCAGGTAGGAAGGGAGGACAGGAGGATGGGAGGAGGCCGGGAAGTGCGAAGGGGGAAAGGCGGGGGAGGGGGGAAAGGGGGAACGGGGAGAGCGGGGAGGGGGGAGAAGGCCGGAGAGGGGGGGCGAGGAGGGAGGGGGGTAAGGGGGGAGGCGAGGAGGATGGAGGAGAGGAAGGGAGGAAGAGAAAACATGGAAGAAATGGAAGAAAGAAGGAACAGAGAAAGGAAAGGAGGAAGACAGGAAGGAGAGACGAAGAAAGGAACAGTGAGAGAGAGCATCATGGTAGAGAAACAACCCCAACGTGATAGGATGCGGCAACACGAAAACTACCGGTAGGCTGAAAAAGAAATCGGTCACACAGCGAATTACAACATGGCTGGCTGCTTGCTGTCCGCAATTCTACAAATCTGCTGTGGGATCTTATAGATGCCATCCTAAGGCATGCCCGCATCCTCAGCCAGGCTATGCTATTCTGCAAGCTGTTTTTTCAGCTGCTCTCCAGTGGTGCCCAAGCTCTATCGTCAGAAACATCTCTGCACGTCAAAGCACCCAGATTAAGCTTTGCTCCGCGCACTTCATGCAGAGAGTCAGAGACCTTTACAGTTCGTATCGTAGTGAATGGAGAGAGGTATATCTCCACATGACTCATGATGCCTCGCACATGCGATGATAGATCGGAAAGGATTTCACAGCAGCAGCCTGGTCCTAGTCCCAAGTTCCGGTCCCAGTCCCGAGTGCCAGTCTTTGAGCCCCAGTCCCATTTTCCTGGGTAGGTCAGTCCAGTCGTGTGTACAATATTAACGACAGCTTAGATTAGAGTATCTTTCGTTTGTAGAACCTTCACACATGCCTGCGAGGCTACCTTCTTTCTTCCCCCGAATACAACGTACGGTCATTATAGCTGCATTTGGGGTATCTTTCAGTCTACATACAGCTATAATGACCGTTTCCCCCCCCC